AGACCGGTTCCCACTCACTGGTTGAGCGCGGTGCAGGCGCAACACCAAGGGTTGCGATCCCATTGCTGGTCCCCGGTGCGGGTACGACACCGAGGGTTGCGATCCCGTTGCTGGTCAGTAAAAAAGACAAAAAGGAAAAAACATTGCTGGTCCCCGGTGCAGGTACGACACCGAGGGTTGCGATCCCGTTGCTGGTCAGTAAAAAAGACAAAAAGGAAAAAAAAAAAAGGAGCTTTGCCAACCTGGTGACTCTGGGACTTCCTAGGTGCATTGGCAATGCCTTAATTGCCTGGGGTGGAGGATGGCAAGGGTTTGGAAAGGTGAGGGCAGAGGGGAAGGAGAGTAGCCTGCCTGGAGTGGGTGGGGGTTCCCTGTCTTGGCATGTTGACACCTGGGGCCAAATAATTCTTGAGGGCTATCTTATGTAGTGTGTTTAGCAGCATTGCTGACCTCTCCCTACTAGATGCCAGTTGCACCCCTCCTCAGCTGAGGCATACATACAGCCCAAAGTGCCTCTAGACATTGCCAGAGGCAGTTCCCCAGGTGGGGAAGCTGGAGTTCCTTGTCCCCCATGGGGAACCACAGTCTGGAGTCAGAGGTCAGGCAGGCCAGGGCGATGAGGGCACCTGGATTGGTGACAGTATTGAGGATTGGTTTGTGACTCATCCCTACTTCCTCTCCAGGAGCTCCGTGGGCCTCAAGGCAGCTGACCAGCTTCAGGGTGCACTGTGTGGTCAGCAGTGACCATGTCTGATCTTGGGTGTGGCCATGGTGTCTGACCCTTGTGTCTTGCAGGTTCCGGTCTCCAGCCATCGCAACCCCCTGCTGGACCTGGCCGCCTATGACCAGCAGGGCCGCCGATTCGACAATTTCAGTTCTCTAAGTGTCCAGTGGGAGTCCACCAGACCGTTGCTGGCCAGCATCAAGCTTGACCCACCCATGCGGCTGGTGTCCCAGGACGATGGGAGCGGCCAGAAGAAGTTGCATGGTGAGCTGGGGTGGCGAGTCTGATAGCAGAGGGCAGGAGGATGGGACCAGTGAAACCCAGACAGAGAGGAAGTGTGCCAAGGCAGCTGTTTCTGTCGGGCGTGCTGGGACTCCCATTCATCCAGATCTAAGACTTGGGGTGCAGAATGAGCCACCTGCTCTCCTTTAATCCTGCACAGACTTTGTGAGGTAGGAACTAGAGGCTCAGGACTCACAGCAGGAACATCTCAGCTCCCGGGTCGTACAACAGATCCGTCAGCTCTAAGATCTGTGACTCTGTGCCATGGCATGTCCCAAAACTACTCAATAGCCACAAGTGGGTCCAGCTCCTCCAGCTCACCTCAGTTGCTCTGTGGGGCCTTGCTCAGGGCCTATTCACTCTTGCAGTACATGTGGTTTCAACATACTCTGTTATCTATGCTCAGATGTGAGGACGGGGTTGCTTCAGAGGCAGCCACGGGGCCAACATCCACTTTGACGTGGGTTCCCTCTTCCTGGACTCAGGTTTGCAGGCCATCTCAGTTCACGAGGCATCGGGAACCACAGCCATCTCTGCCACTGCGACTGGCTACCAGCAGTCCCACCTCAGCACAGCCCTAGTGAAGCCGCTGGTATCTCTCAGGGCCCAATGGCGGGTGGGGCCGCGGGCGAGGCAGGTGGTCTTTGTGCTTCTGCCTGAATTCTGCCTAGTGTCCGAGTGTCCTGAGCCCCATCGCTGGGACCCAGCCCGCAGCTCCCTGCTCTGCTCCCCCACATGGTGCCGCCTCCCTGACCCTGCTGCCCCCAGTCTGGGTCAGGTCAGCAGTCTCCTTCGAATGACAGTGGCAAGAAATTGAGGTGCATAGCATGCCACCCAAGGGAATGAGGGCTGTCCTGTCCTCTGTGAGCCAGCCATGGAGGCTCTTCCACCCGACCCTCCCTCACTCCCTGGCCTGGTCAGCAACTTCACTGTTTGCCCAAGCCCCCCATCTCCCACGGTATTGCCGTGGCATCCTGAAAGTCAGCAGCTGTGTGCGAGTCACCCACCTGTGTGGCCCAGCAGGGGGTGTGGCAGCATCTAGGCAGGACTGTTGATAACCACCTTCTCTGATGGGAGCAGGGAGGCGGCCACAGGCTCCACCTTGGTAGGATGAAGGGAGGCTTCAGAGGGGATATGGCCTTTCTTTTCAGCCTGGCTGAGGAGCCACCATGGTTTGATTGGGGATTGTGTCCTGGAACAAGGCCAGGACTATGGCTCTAGCTCTGCTCTTGCCTGGGAGCAGCCTGCAGGCTGGCCCGGTGTTGGCCCATGGTTGCCTGGATCTGATGGCCTTGGCTTGCCCTTCAGCACGCCCCTCCCATGCCTGTGACGGCATCCATAGAGCTCATTCTGGTGGAGGACGTGAGGGTGAGTCCGGAAGAGGTGACCATCTACAACCACCCTGGAATCCAGGTATAGTCCTTGCCCTGCCACCACCCTGCCTGGGCAAGACCCCTTGGAGGACCCTTGCCCTCCGACACACAGCCCGGTCCCCTCCCGCATCTCCCTTCTCCAGGTGGAGCTCCACGTCCAAGAAGGTTCTGGGTATTTCTTCCTCAACACGAGCACCGCAGATGTCATCAGGGTGGCCTACCAGGAGGCCAGGGGCATTGCCACGGTGAGCGTGGGCCTTCAGTCTTCACGGTGGTTTTAATTCCTTATTCAGGCTGTTGTGTGGTTAACAGATTGATTATTTCAAAAGCTGGTAGTTAATCACATCAACTATAATTAGCAAGGCCTTTAGCTTCTCTGATATATTCTGAAACTTTAGTCACTGTCATGTTATCTTTGTACAGAATTTTATTCCATATCCACAAACTATCCACACTATTAGTTACCTAATGGTTTCCTTTCTATCAGTCTTTTAATTAAGACTAAAATATTGTTACGTAAGCAGCACTGTAACAACTGCAAAGAAAATTGGTTTTAAGGGCCGGCCCGGTGGTGCACTTGGTAGAGTGCAGCGCTTGGGAGCGTGGTGGCTTCTCCTGCCAAGGGTTTGGATCCCATATAGAGACCGGTCCGCTCACTGGTTGAGCGCGGTGCGGGCGCAACACCGAGGGTTGCGATCCCGTTGCCGGTCACGAAAAAAGACAAAAAGGGAAAAAAAAAAAAAAAAAAGAAAATTGGTTTTAAGGGCCAGCCCGGTGGTGCACTCAGTAGAGAGCGGCGCTTGGGAGCGTGGCGGCTTCACCCGCCGAGGGTTCGGATCCCATATAGAGACCAGTCCACTCACTGGTTGAGCGCGGTGCGGGCGCAACACCGAGGGTTGCGATCCCGTTACCAGTCACGAAAAAAGACAAAAAGGGAAAAAAAAAAAAAAAAGAAAATTGGTTTTAAAAGATATATCAGCCTTTTCTGTTTTTCCGTGTTTCTCTCTTGAACCTCTCTCTACTCTTGAAGGTAAAAATTGGTTTTAAAAGGTATATCAGCCTTTTCTGTTTTTCCGTGTTTCTCTCTTGAACCTCTCTCTACTCTTGAAGGTAAAAATTGGTTTTAAAAGGTATATCAGCCTTTTCTGTTTTTCCGTGTTTCTCTCTTGAACCTCTCTCTACTCTTGAAGGTATTGACTTAGCCGTGTC